GAATTCTGGGAGTTGGAGTCCACTCATCTTAAAGTGGCCAAGTTTGGACAACACTGGCTTAATAGGTCTAATGGTTAGAAAATTCCTCCTTATTTTAAGTTTGGATTTCTCTCTGCAGACCATCTACCCATTGGTTCTTCTTCTACCCTTGGGCACTTCAGAGAATAAATCCGTACCCCTCTTCCCTGTGATAGTCCTTCAAGTATTGGAAAACTGCTATCATCTCTCCCCTTGGGTTTTTCTTCTTTAAGGCTAAACATACCCATTTCTTTTAGCAGTTCTTCATAGGATTTAGCCTCCAAGCCCTTTACCATCTTTGTTGCTCTACACTCTTTCCAGCTCCTCAGTATCCCTTGTATTGTAGCAATTTTATCGGCAACATCTTTGGAAGTGATTTGCCATTGCTTTCTTCTGAGGGCTGAGAAAGGGTGACTGGCCCAAGGTCCCCCAGCTGCCTTCATGCCTAAGGCAGAGCTGGAACTCATGGTCTCCTGTTTCTAGCCTGGTGCCTTTAACTTCTGCCGTACACCAAGCTGGGTCTATTTCCTATGGTATAGTGTCTCTGATTTCAACCTTTTCACATGAAAAGCAAATGACTACAATTTATGGCAGTACGGACATATAGCACATTATCTGTATGCCTAGAAAAGATGTAATATATAAAACAAAAATAATGATAATGGTGTGAAATCAAACCTTATCTTTGTTAACTGGGGAAAAAATAATTTGGCCAGTGATGAATCCAATCCAATCAAACATATAGCTTGATTCTTATAGGAAGAAATATATGAATTTAGCTAATTGCATAAATTAAAATGTTTAAATTAGCTTCAGCTGTTACATTTAATCTCAGCTCTGCAAGATACAGCGGATGTAATCATTTCTGCCTTTGGAAGAGGAGTTCTGAAAATGTAAATTGCTAAATTGCAGATTGCTTAGTCACCAAACCCATTTAGTTTTCAGTCATAAGTGTCCTTGTTAAAAGTGTACCTCATTTAATTAAGTAATATTTACCTTTGAGTAAATATGCTTATGATTGCGCTGCATGACATATATTACATTGCATGTGTGTGTGTGTGTGTGTGTGTGTGTGTATTCCTAGCATTTTCATGCAGGTACAGGGTCTGCTTTTTTTCAGATTAACCAAATGTTGATCCATTGGTTGCAAAAGGAATTAACCAACTGGCTTGTCGCCCGAGTCTGACGTTGTATTACATATACATATACGTATACATATATATATGACTGTACATATAAATAGTAAAACTACTGGACTGTGAGTTCATGTTTATAAGCGAATAATTATCCTAGCAATGCCTTAATTTTCTATTCCTAGTACTAAGGAATACTGTTTACTAGGAGTACAATCATATCCTAGTAAAAATACAAAATAGTGTGTTTTACTGAGTATTTCATATATTTCAAAAATATGCTTTGTTTGTTCAGGTGAGGTTTTTGTACTAAACGATGGTGGAGAAGTTGATCTAGATTTGGGAAACTATGAAAGATTCTTAGACATTAGCCTTTACAAGGATAACAACATCACCACTGGAAAGATCTACCAGCATGTCATCAATAAAGAAAGGCATGGAGATTACTTGGGAAAAACTGTTCAAGGTATCTTTGTTAACAAATATGCATATTATTTCACTTCCTTCTGAGACATAGCACATGTAATCATCCTACTTTACCCTCACAGCAAACCCAGCCACTTCTAGTTTACTCAGTAAACTCATTTAAACAATGCAAGGCTTAGCACAAATAAATTAGTATCTTATCATCAGTGTGGTATAACTTTCAAAGATTCAACATATTCTTGGAATGTTTTACAGCATCAGTGAAATACTAAAATACAAAAGTCAATAATGAATGTGCATATTTAAGTATAATTTACAATTGTTTAAACCAATTAATCTATGTTAAAAAAATTAAAAATGATAACAAAAGTATCGTCGGCTGGTATCAGATTGATCCAAGCAAGAAGAAAGTGATCATGCCATACTGAAAAGGTACTCTCTTTAATAGCTATCAGCCAGACTTCACTTCATGGATACACCCAAAGAAGGGCCTCCAAAATTCTGTACGATTTTTCACCTGATAGTGATCATAAGCTCCATATTCATATGCTGTATACTGGAAGCCAATAAAGATGAGAAAGCAAAGTTCACTTCCATACCAGTAACCAATCTAACTGCCCTGAACTTCCTTAATTCCTTTCAAAGAAGTCCTACATACAGTGCAATGCTTACTGGCATAGTATTCAAACACACGACTGGCCATTTGATAGTAAAATGATTGTCACTTACAGGAAGAATGACATGAATATCATTCTTTTTCCATGTACATTTTCATCTCAATACTTTTTAAAGTACTTTTTGGAAGATACAAATTGCCAACCGTGGTTGCCAGGTAGCAATATTTATAGAACTATTGACAATGGGAATGTATTTATGTCTGCACAATATTAGAGAAGCTGTTAAGCGTTATATTCAGGTATTCCTACTCAAGTTGCAAGTATTCCTAAGAATTCACATTTCAACTGCACTTTATTCTTACTAGCTCATTTAATCAGATTATTATAGAATCTTCTAAGAACTTTAGCAGACTCAAGAAAAGAATGTGCTGTAGCTGTCAATGCTGTTACAACTTTAATTCTTGGAACAGTTCCATGAAATGGTGTATGTCTTATCTTCTCTCGCATTAACATTTTGTTTATCTTGTAGTTGTACCTCATATTACTGATGCAGTTCAAGAATGGGTAATGAATCAGGCAAAAGTTCCTGTGGATGGTGATAAGAAAGAACCACAGATATGTGTAATTGAAGTGAGTATGAGCTTTCTGTATGAAGCAGGCAGGCAGGCAGGCAGGCAGGCAGGCAGGCAGGCTTGCTATCTGTCTGT